AATTTTCTCTTCTTTACTCTTTCTTAATTAGCTTATTGATGAAAGTGTACCCAGTATTCCGCTTAACCAGGCAGCTTTTCTCCAACTGAGATTAATGTCCTTGTATTTAACCCCAGTGATATCAAATATTGGGCCAATCTAAATTATCCTATTTTGTCCTGCTGTCTTTAGTACAGTCTTCCTTCACTAAGGTGAGACCTGGGTAAGGGAGAGAGTGAGTAAGAAATGACTAAACAGCTCAAATTTGGGGGACTTTGAAGCAACTTTTCTCCATAAACCACAATATGACCACAGTGGACACTGCCCTTCCATTTTGGCTTAATTCCTTTATTTTATAGATAAAACTTCTGCTAACTCCTAACCCATTGCCTTTTGACATACATACGCTTATATTTGGCAGGGGTAAGATGTAGTGACTGTCTCCAAGTATAAGAAATATGTTCAGAATTTTTTAAAAAATATATCATATTGGAAGGAGAAAACTCAATTTTTGCTTAAGACATTTGTTGTAGAACAATGCAACAGATTAAAGGTAGCTCGCAAAGCAAGGCAACATTTCTTACCTGCTATTTTTTTTTTCTCCAAATTCTTCTACACAGGTCCAGACAGATGGGCTACGTTTCCTTTCTATTAACTGAGGAGACAGAGAAGAATTGAGGACTGAAACATGCCATCACTGTCCTGAATGTACTGAAATCCTAACAGCTTTAGCTGAAAAAATGTCCAAAGTAGGCAGGGAAAATTAAAATAGGACAAATTCCAAAACTGTCTATGCCAGAGTCTCAAGTCAGGCAGGGAAAACTGGTTCCTTGAAGGTGGTCAAAGAAACAAGCAGAGTGACCTAAACCCTGTTCCAGCAGGTTCCAAGTACTTGGGGATGGAGTAACCCCTTTCCTTTATTCATCTACATAGGTCCATGAGCCATGAGAGCATGACTCTCCATGGGAAGCTCCTCAATACAAGACCCCTAATTGCATCACGTAACTCCTTTCTCAGGGGGCAAAAATCTAAAGAATCTGAAGTGGTGAGTCTATATTTTAATCAAATTCTGAGGACAGCCTTGAAGAAGAGTCCTGCATGAAGAACAGCACAAGAAGCAAAGGGTCAGGCAGGCGTGGGTTTGAATCTGGTCCTCACTTTCTGGTGAAGTGACCTGTGTCATGAACATCTCTGTGCCTTAGCACCATCTGCTTCAGGAGAGTTTGAGGATTAAATGAAAGAGCGGGCGATCCAAGGAAGGAATAGAAAGCCGGGCTCAGAATAGGTGCTCAGCCGTGATGATGTCATAGCTGCACTGGCCAGGGAGCAGAAACCCTGGAGATGCCCACTGCAGATGGCCAGGGGAGTGGAAGTGCTATAAGGAAAGGAATTCCCAATCTCAAAGGTCCTATTCAAATTAGAAAACAGCTTCAAGATACAATGCGAGAAAAGTCAAATGGTCTTCCTTTAGTGCCTGTTACAAGGCACAGCTGAGCTGCATGGAAAATTACTTGCAAAGTTCTCAAGGAGTTATGCCACTTAGTAACTGTTAGTTATCCAGCATTTGAGTTTTGATGTCTTCATCCCCCAAATGGGGGATAATAATATCTACATCACAAGAGTTGCTAGGGAAGCTAAAATGAGCTAGTGTGAGGAAACACGTATGACGCACTCACCAAGAGCTTCAGACATGCTACCTTAAATTATATGATAAGCAAAAGTACTAAGTATAATGCCTGGAACATAGTAAGTACCTAATAAACTGTAGGTATTAAGGAAATGTTGCTGGGCAAAGAAAGACTTTCTAAAGAAGAATTTCCAAGAAAGAAGATACCAGTTGGGAAGCATAAGATGCATTTGGGAAAAGAAAAGTTGAGTAATTGCTAGGTGTGACAATCTCAAAACTTTAAAACTGTTACAAATAAAAGCCTACATCACTCCCAGAAGATAGCTCCGAGTTGTTATTTTCATCCTTAATGTTTAGGCATTTCTGAATTGGAGAAGCAGTGCCAGGATTCCAGTACATACCAAGAAGTGATGACAACACACTGGCGCGTGTAAACTGTCCTGCGGACATGCCAGAAGCTGGCGCTCCCTGTCAGCACCCGCCTGCAGCTTCTCTGTGGCCGCAGCTCAGTCTGCCGTCATACAGATGGTCTTCTCTAGCGTGGCTATGCCCCTCAACGGGCGGCCAGGGTTAGGGTTCCCTTTATTCTCTCTTTGTGCCTTTTCTTGGCACCACTTCGACATAGCGCCCACGAGCCAGCCTGTGAATGTGCACTGTCTGGGTAAGGTGTGGCCTTTCTACAGTGTACAGTCCTTCTGTCTCTAAAACCAGGGAGCTCAGATGGTTAGAGCCAATGAAGTGACTTGAAAGAAATTTTTAAAATAAGCCATCAGTCTGGACCTGTGTAGGTGAATGAAGGAGAAGCACTTTTTAGTTGGGGGAAAAGTATACTTCACATTTGGTATTATTAACCATTGCTGACTTCCATAATGTATTTCAGCTGAAAGAAACATGATTATTATTATTATTCAAAAATCATACTTATTAGTAAACTTTTGGCCTGTCTCCGAGGTGGATTTCACATTCAAAATAGAGTCTTTACCACATTGCTAACTTGTTGATTCAGTTTGTCAATAATATAGACACTTCATTCAAGAAACTTACTGTGATATAACTACCTGGAACCCAGGGGTTAATCAAGATTTGTGGGGCCTGGGTCCCATCTACTACAGGAAATCCTGCATAATGAATGCATGTAAAATTATGAATAAAAAATTGCTAGGACCCCTCCCAAGACCAGGTCTATGCAAGCAAGAAGCCCTCCAGCCTAAACCTCAGTCAACTCATGGTAAATCCATCTCAGCTTGGTTTTTTTAAACAAACGTATTTAACTCTGGAAAAATATTGTCTCAACTCATAAATCCCAGCAAGGTAATAGCTAATCAAATGACTTAACTTGAGGGGTGGTATTCTCTTTTAGCAACTTGCCTTTGGGAAGAGACAAGTTTATATTTCAACAATGTTTATATTTCACCATAGCAAATATTACTTGGAACAAATTAGCTTTGTCTATTAGAAAACTTTGGCTCAAAGCAAAGGAGTCCAGCCCCCAGTGAATATTGTGACAATCTTTTGAAAGTAACTGTGAATTAAGTTTCAGGAGCACAATTCTATTCCAATCATGACACGAGTATTAGTTTATTTCCAACACCACTTAGCTCTTATTCTTTCATTACCTTTTCCTGTCATGAGATGAACACAGAAACTCAAGATGAACGAGCTGGATGTCTTCCAACCAACTGCCCATTCCCTACTATGCCAGTTCAGACCCGTCACCACTATGCCAGTTCAGACCTGTCACCACCAGCAGGGGCAAGTGCTGCTCTGGTAGGTTTCCCCATTAACACCCATCTTCCTCCTTACAGTAGGAGTTTTTGGGGACCAAGACCCTATTCTAGCCTTCTTTGCATCAACAGTATGTGTACTGATGCACAGGAGACATGTTACTCAGCACGTGTTTCTGAATGAATTCATTAATTTTTTTAACGGTGAATGTTATTTATTTATTTATATAATAGCTTATTATTACATCACTGTGCATTTTTTCATCTCAGTTGTACAAATTCATTAATTTTTACCAATGGTGATTCCACAACTTTTTGATGAGTTTTTCTTCTGTGGCTTACATAACTACACCGAAATAGAGTCTTATAAAGGACTCTTGGTGTTATACAATGATCAGTAAAGATGATGAGGTGAAGAGCACATTGACACAACTGAAGTTTCTCGGTGGAGAGCCCTACTTGGCCTGCTCTCTGGCATGTTTGTGGGAGGAAAGCCGAGCATCAGTATTCCTTTTCCAAATTAGGCTTCAGCAAATTAGTGAGTAGAAAGGGGAGGCATCAGCTGGGCTTCTGCAGAAACTCTTAATCCAGCTTTCAGAGACACCCTGAACATGTTCATATAACCTGAAGGAAACCATGAAAACTGGATATCTGAACCACAAGACAGGTAGAACTATCTTTTCCAGTGTCAGGTCTAAAGCAGATCTCTACCTTGGGACTAAAGTCCCCCTCTAGCCTAATGACTGAACATACCCATAATGATTTCCTGTGTCACAGAGAAAGCACAGATTTTTTGTTGTTGTTGAAAGGCAAGAAAGTACATGGGATTAAGCTGCAGTAATGTGTTTTCTTTATGAATATTCCACACCTCAAAGGCTCCTATTGTTCAGTTTTTAAAAAATGTTCTTGGTGGGTCTTCCCTGGTGGTGCAGCGGGTTAAAGCACAGCACTAAGAAGCTAACGCCACTTTAGCATGAGTTCCCTCCCTGCCCCGGAGCTGACCCACATGGTGTGGCAGACCTCTCCTGACCCGCCCGCTGCTCCCCTCAGCAGTGTACTTCATCAGTCGGCCTGTTCTGCTTCCCGCTCTTACTCTGGTGAATCCTCTCACTGCCCCTGCACCTCTGGCCTGTACCCCAGTTCTGTATGCACAAATAAAGAAATCTTTAAAGAAAAAATGTTCTTGGTGATTTGGGAGAAAACGTTCCTGTGGTGGGTGTTCAGGAATTCTTTCTGCTTTGCCAAGTCAAAGGAAGAATCCATGTCTGTTCCTTGGAGATTTTTGTGCTAAACTTGATTCTTTGTGGCTCTATGTTGCATACGTACAAGCAGTCATGAACTTTACACAGGAGGAGGAATCAAAGTTAAATTCAAAATGGCGTTTCAAGGGGAATACACATATTACAGGCGCCATCTCTGGGATCCCCAGATCAGTGCCGCTCTGGTGCCTGTCATTGACCAAGGCTCCGACGGCAGGAGGGAAAGCAAAGCATGTCACCTGAGACCATCTCTTGGCCTCTTTGTACCTTAGTTTCCTCATTTGTAAAAAATGAATGGACTTGAAGACATGATTTTCAGAATTCACATTGGATTTATACTCAGATAACCAATAATGGTATGATGTTTCTACACACAGTTTGTTACATGTACTCAGCTTCTACTTTACTTACAGCTTATGTAAAAACTGCATTCCATGCCAGGCCTGAAATGTTCCAAAGCTCAGTTCTGTGAGTAAATTGCAACCAAGATTTCTGAGAAAAAAAAAAAAAGAAAAATTATATTCTTTTAGAACATGTGTCCTTTGGCAGGAATTCTAAGTTATGTGTGATGAAGTATAACCCCAATACTTTCTCCATGCACTAAAGAAATCTCGTGGTAGAAGATATTTGCTTGTGATCTATACTGTCATGTTTATACATAGGTGCAATCGATATAAAATAGTAAATTCCCAGTAAATACTTTTGTTAAGTGACCTTTATTTCTGTATAACTGAGTTTCAAGACTTCAGCACTGTGGGTATTTTGGCCTGGGCCATCCCTTGTTATGGGGCAGCTTTCCTGCACTCTGCAGGGCATTTTGCTGCATCTCTGCTCTCTGCACTCTAAGGCCAGGGCCGTTATCAGTTCCGACAAGACATTGCCAAATGTCACCTGGGTACTAAGTCACCCTGGTTGACTGTTGTTCTAGAATGATTCAGCCTAATCTGTAATTTTCACACTAATCTTTATTAGAGACAAAAAAAAAATTTTTTGGTAGATAATTTTGGTAGCTTTCTACTAATAAAAATTTTAATATTTAAAAATGAATAACAATGAGGTTTGTAACTAACTTTTGTAAACACCCCAGATATAATGAAGTTATATTTGTAACTTACATAAACTGCAAGAAAGGAAGTGGTTCAAATGTACGCCTTTCAATAGACTGTATTTTATTGCAGGACAAATCTCTAGGAAAAGTAAAAGGAAAGTATTGCCTCAATTAGCTACTAGGTATCTGATTTGTAGGAATAACTAGTAGAGGTCAGAGTGATAATATCGAATGAGTAGCTCCTCCCTAAACTTTAAACCTTAGGAACTGAAATTTGAACCTTCTGGGGCCCTGAAAACCCTGTCTCATCTCTCCCACCTTCATAATCTTCGTTAAATAAAATATAGAACTATAACTTTTAGTAGATTTTGGAGGTTATCTTTCCTGATAGCAGAAGGGTTGACTAGCTGATCTTTTGTTTTTATTAATTTCTATGAGCTCAAAGTTTTAAAACTCTATATATAATTATTATTTCCACTATTAAAAGGAACATTCTTACATTTATACCTTGTTGGTTTAGTGATATTTTTCTGGGTCAATTCAATACCAGAAGAAATAAAAGATAACCTTTCACATAACTTGAAAGAAAGTTACTCCTCTGATTTATACATAACTTTGAACTAATTCACTATTACACTTTCCATCATATTAATAGAACTTCATGTTTTGGCTTTACATTGTCTTAATAGTTCATGAACTTCATTGCTTCCCTTGTACAGTAGCAGGGCAGCAGAAAACGACAGGCACTAGATTTCTATTTTAAACATCTATTACCTTTGACTATAGTTGACTCTCCTATTTCTATTGTTTCCAGCTTAGTCCCTCACTTTCCACCGAGGTGGGTGTCACCTCTAGGCTCTGCCGTGCTAATCCATGCTCACACAGTTACCAGATTAACCCTCGGAAGTAGTTCTCAATACAGCCTCGCTGGAAAAGAGATCACTTGGGAACTTAGTACTACGCATACTTCAGCCCTACTGTGAAATGGCTGAATTAGTCACTATGGGGGTGGGAACTATATTCAGGGAATCCATAGTTGGGGGTAGGGTGTGTCCTACAGCACCTTTGTGATAACATGGTAGTCAGGCTATAAGCATTTCTAATTATACCAGTTAATCATCCTTATAAACATTACTTTTAATACTGGCATAAAAATTCCTGCATTAAAAACCTTAACACCAGTCTGCTCACTTGGTAACTTACTATGTTCTTGATAATACTATTTATGTGATACATCTGCTTAATCAAATATTTCATATTTGTTAATTTAGATTAATTTGGAATTCTGGCATTCAAATTAAGGTGTTCTACCAGGGGAGAAAATAATAACGATCAACTATATACCAGAGACATTTTACAGGGGTGGAATGGGGAAGGGATCAAAAAGGGGGGGAGGGAACAAGTGTACTGGACTATGTTGATGGCACGCGGGTGATTTGGTGACAGGAAGCCCACGGGGATTACAACTGAGATGGGAAAAGGCAAACAATGATATAGAAATAAACTATTATATTATTTTTAAAAAGAAAGAAAAAAAATAAATATAAAACAAGTTTTTTTCAAATCTTATCTGTAAATGCCAGACAGTAAATAATCAAGCTTTGCAGGTCATACATGATCTCTGTTGTGTGGCCTTCTGTTTCTTTTACAGACTTTTTTTTTTACCATATAAAAACAGTTCTTAACTTGTGAACAATATAAAAATGAACCATGGGTCATGGGATTTGACCCACGGGTCAAATATAAACATCAATATGAGCAGATGGTTTATGAACAGTTACATAATTAGGTTCATATGGCTGTTTCTAGCTGCTCAGATCTCATTGCTATTTTTCCTCTCTAACTGAATTTTTTTCTGTCAATATCTTGTCTATATAATTAAAAATGCTGCAAATGCATAAGAATTACTTAATGCTAGAGATCAGCTGAGACCCTTCACAGACTGACACAACTGTAGAATTTTATTACTGGAAGAAATGGTAAAGATTATTAATTTGAATTCCTTATTTTATAAATAACTAAAAACTCAAAAAGATGATTAACAACTTACAAATACTGGAGGGATAGCAGGCCTTCAAATGAATCCTTGTGTAATTCAGTCAAATGATTTTCACTGATAATCCTGAAAAATGAAAAGATTACTTCTGGATCCAAATGAAAAAAAGTATTTACTACACGGGATCCATGACTACATGTGGGGGAAACCTGAGTATGTGGGACACCCCTAAAGCTAGGGATGGTGACCTCTGCCTGTTTTAACTCAAACCTTTCTTCTCATGTCCTCCTTTGCGTCCATCTCCATCTGTCTCTCTCACACGCACACTGCTATTCTCCCCAACCAATAGGATATTTAAAGTCGTCTATCTACTACCTAGATCAAAAAGTCTGTTAGACCCAAGCTCTGGGTGGCCATTTCTCCTTCTTTCCCCAAACATACTATAGAAGCCCCATACAGAACTAGCTCGGGGCTACAAATGAAGCGATTTGATATTTTTCCCCATTAAATTTTTTGAAAAGTGCAATGCTTATTGCAGCAGGAGCAACCTAATGCTCGTTGACAGAAGACTGGGTAGGGAGATGTGGTGTACTGACACCATGGAGTACTATTCAGCACCAGGAAAAGACGAAATGTTGCTATTTACAGCACAATAGCGTGAATTTGAGGGAATCATGTGCAATAAATCAAGTCAGAATGACAAAGACAAGTATTTTGGGCATTTACCAAACAGATGATTGGAAAAAGTATTTCATTTTGTATAAAGATGGTCATTAATAAACAACACTGAGGGAGAGAAAACTGTCAAGGGATAGAAGGGGTGGTGGCGGTGAAATATTTTGAGAAAATGTACCTAAAATGAACACAGCTTAATAATCATAAAACAAAGGCCTCCATGAGTTCATCCATGTCAGGAACGAATGCTGCAGGCTTCCCAGTAGCCCCTGCGTGCCCCTTCCCAACCACAACCTTCTCTGACCCTGAAAGGTAATTACTTCTCTTACCTTACCTATCTTAACTGGTAGTAACGCCCTTGTTTTTAAACATGTACCTCTACTTATCATCTATAAGCCATAAACAGCATAGTTTAGTTTTGCTGCTTCTTGAACTTCATGTAAACGAAGTCATTTATGCATTATTCTCTACGCTGCTTTCATCAACATTCTGCAAAATATATTGTTGCATTAGCTAAAGTTGGTTCATTTCCCTGCCTGCTACCCATGTAGCTAAGTCACAGAGACAGGTAGAGAGCTGAATTTCTTAATCTACTTTAATTATTTAAAGTGTTTAATTTAAAAATGGAAATGATGCAGTTATTTGAAATTAAGTGTATTTGCAACAATTTGGGTACGTGATGCTACTTTTTCAACTGTAAATGTTATGAAATCTGAATATAGATCAATTCTTTTTGACAAAAAATTAAGTAACCATATTGAAATTTCAATTAGTATGGAAAAATAATATAAACTCATTAGCAATTTTATCCTCTGTACATGTAATGATATATTACTAATGCATATAAAAATACATATTGAAAGTTTTTGATATAAGGATTAAATAAATATATCAATATATTTTTTCCATCTATTTATTCCTTTATTTTTTAAGAGGCTACCAGAAAATTTAAGATCTTGATATGGCTTGTATTATGTTTCTAGCGAGCTGGATTCTGCTGTGCTCATTCTACTGTTGGTGGACAATAAGATTCTTGTAGGTTTTAGCTAACACTATGAACATCCTTGAGCATGTAGCCTGATACATATTTGCTTGCATTTCCCTAGAATATAATAGGGGGACAAAGCTGTTTTCCTGCTAGTGACAGACTGAAATATGCCAACTCTCTACCTGTCCAGCCTCCACCAAAAATCCCTAAGAATGATAGAAAAAATATAATAAAAAAATCCACAACTTTAGCTTAATGCATAGGAACAGCTCCAAGAATTGCTTTCTCACCAGAAATGACCAGGGGGAAGTGCAGGGTGACTGGCTGGGCTGTGTAGTAGGCCCGTGAGCAGCACATCAACCCCACATGCTTCCTCTTTGGACAAGGCAGCCAAAGATGCCTCCTCCAGGCAGGGGCAGTTGGCGTTAGAAAGGATCAGGGTGTGCATGCCCCGACTAGCCGCTAGAAGCACCTCCCACCTCTTGTTTTCAGGGACATCAGTCAGGAATAGAGGCCCCAGGAGTTCATTTCATACCTTTTCTTGAGCAGAAACAGAATTTGAACTACAAAAAAGAATCACACTTAGGAATGAATCAACTCAAGATTCTTTGTAAATTCTCCAGAGATGAGATCTTGGTCTGTTTTGTTCTTGGGTCTGGACCCTTAATACATAAAGCAGCTCTTGGCACATAGTAAGTATTCTATAAATATATGTTGAATGAATTCAGAAAGTTAGAGTATCAATTTTCAGATATACTACTCTCACTTAAAGCACATCATCTATTATCACTCATGAAGATAAGTAGAGATTATAGGAGAATTGTCTTTCTTTTCCACTACATTTGTGACTCAGTTCTTTGAGACAATAACCCTACAAGAATTTCATAAAAGTTAAGGGCCCTTTCCTAGAAAACTATACTTTCTTGAATACATGCAAAGGTGTGCATCCAATTTCAACATTTGGGGATCATCCTTTTAGGGGAGGCATCCATTAACAGAATGAATAGAATTCAGGGCACCAAACTTAGAGGGGAAATAAAATTTTATCTCTCTCTCACAACTTCAAATACATTTTATTCCAGTGTGAATGTAGGCAACAAGCCACAATAGATTAACATCTGGTCTCCAATAGAAATCACCTATTTTCATATATTTGTTACAGATACCACAACTTGGAAGTTACAAGGCAGTTCATATTTTATACAGCCCTACCACTGCAATCTGTTACTGTGTAAAAAGAAGATTTACTATGATATTTATTACTTATCACCACATTTAAAGAATATATTTTGAAAACTGTATTTCAATAGAATTGTTTCCTATATATTAACTTATTATGCATCTAAAAACATTACCCTAAGCTTCTAGAGATCACCAAAAAGATCTATAGTGGGGGGAAAATAAAAGTTAAACCCTGCCCTGGGGAACTATGGCGCCCTGATTTAGTAAACTCTGCCATACAGGTATAAATAAATCTCAAATTCAGACATCTTGAAGCTTCACTAGACTCATGTTATAGTCTCCCATGTTTTTTTTTTTTAATGCATGTTTTCTAAAAATTAACTTTCAAGCTTCAAAATTCTTACTCAAAATAAGGATTTTACAATGCAGTTAGGGTGATTTTTTTTTTTTTTGGTATTCATATTTAGAGAAAATTTACTCACAGTTTCTCAGCCCAACGGTATGAGTTCCATATATTTTCATCAATGTAAGAAATAGAGTTTCCTTGGAAATTTCTGTGAAGAAACACAGTTCATATCCTTGAATAGGTAGGAAAATGGACAGAATAAGTGAAAGAATCATGGCAACCTTGGGGGGAATGTTCAAACACAGAAAAGCCCAGCTTTCTAATTCCACAGCTCTCAGCTTCTCAGTCTGCACCATTAATGCAGACATGTGTAGGGCCATGCTCTTCAGAACCTGAGTTTCCCTGTCTGTCCAGTTTCTTGGGTACACAAGATAATGCCAGTTAATTTGAATATGTTATTCCCCTCCCCCGCTACTGATGTGTTTAAAATAACTCCTGTTATAAAGCAGTGAGAAAATGATAAACACTTAGACAGAAAAATGGCAAAAATTTATCATTATGAGTCAACAATGACTCATGCAACTATCAGTGCCATCTGTTGAATCTCTTGAGGTGTTAGGAGGGTAATGGCAATTACATAGCAGAGGGACTAATGTGGAAATATCTTAGACATTGCATAATGAAAAGGACAAATCAAGTAACGCCTTGATGGGAAAAATGCAAAGGAAAGAGACTGGAAGGAAGCATATTCCATAATGCTAACAGGAATTATCTTATGGGGGTGAGGGAGGGTGGGATGGAATTTTCATATTTTACCTTGTACACTTCTTTGACATTTTTCTAACAGTGAAAAATGTCCCCATAAATGACATGTCAAATGTCTGAAGTTTGGTTTCAACCACTAACTGAGAACAGCAACAGTTTACCTATTTGGTTTATGGGCATATTTTTCAGAGCATCCAGATAAATGAGAAGCGGTACCTGTCTGCCCATGTGCTCAGCAGACATTTCCACTCAACCAGAGAAGTCTTCTGGCCGATTTACACTCACCAACAGATATGTCTAAAACTCAACTCATCTTTAAACTGGGCTTTTCCCCCCAATTGCTGTACTGCCACTACTTATACCACCAGCACTGTCATCATCCAGAATAGAAACCTGAGTCATTTGATTTTTCTTTCCTTTTCCCCCAACTCTAGTCAGTTACTAAATCCTTTTGGCTCTCTGTCTAGTACTTTCAGGATTTCCTGTCTACTAGCACACTCGCTCTGATTCACCCCTTTCTCACTTAACTCCTAGGCTTTGCTACAGCATTCTTCTGGTCTCCTTGAATCAAGCTTTCCTTTCTAGCTTACTCTACTAATAAATTCTTTAAAATCCCACCTTTTAATTTGTTGAGCTAGTGTTAGTTATATCACTGTATTTGGGGACCAGAGGACCCCCCCACACCCTTGTTTTCATCTTTGGTCTTCTTTGAAAACTTTCAGTAGTTCTCCATGTCTCAGAATGTAACTTTCAAACCCCTTTAGATGATACTCAAGATTTTTTATAATAATTTTTCATTACTTCATAATCCATTTCCTTACAACTTAATTGTTTATTAAAGCCTGATCATTCCTACAGCTTTGCTTTTGGTTAGACTATATTCTCTCTATTTAACAAATCACAGTTATTCTTTAAGTTCTGGCCAAAGTTTTAGCTCCTCTATGCTGTTTCCCTGACCTTCACACTCCGATTATAGGCTCTGGTGAATTAAAAGCATCAATAGTCTTTATCTCTTCTAGTACTTCCTTTATAGACATATTCCCTCACTTCTGACTTATCACTGTCATATTCTAGAGACAATATCATACTTGCAACTCCCACACTACTTAGCCTTGGGCTGGGCATAAAATAGGTGCTACATATAAAAGTCAGAGAACAAAGGTGAATTCTGAACATAACTGAGGGGATTGGATAATAATAATAGCTAATACATATATATTACATATATACATATATCTTCTTATGTAAGGCATTGACATAAATGTTGTATAGGTATTAATGAACTCATTCAAATCCCAGAAAGATGCTATGAGGTGATAGTTATCATAATCTCCAATTTACTACAGATAAAACATAAAGCTAACAAATGACAGATCAGGGTTCAGACTGCTGGCTCCAGAATCTCTACTCTTAACCACTTGGCAGTATTACCACTAATAAAATGGGGAGGACAGAATACTGCAATAAAGAGGAAGAAACAAAAATGAGAGGAGAGTAGAAGTTAAGGAATGAAATCATGGGGCTAAAAAATGGATGAGGGAGTAAGAGTAAGAGCAATTACAAGTTAGACTAGTGAAGGGGGATAAAAATGAGGAAAACAAAAGGTAAAAGCAGTTAGTCAGTGTGGGCTGGGGAAAGGAGGAAGGCCAGAAAGTTTGAGGAAAGGTTGCCAAGTCAGGCAAGAATGAGGAGAGTGAATGAGAGGCAATCCTTACAAGGTGGTGAAGGTGCCATTGTAGGTGTTGGGCTCTGGCACAGGCACTCTGCGGAGTCTCCGCTTTGGGCTGAGACCAGCACATGAAAGTGTCTCATCTTTGCAGGTACAGAGTTCACATATATTGATGTGTGTAGTGGCATTCTGTCCTGGTTGGTTGGTAAAATTCATGTGTCCCCTTCCTTGCTCATATAAATCCTGAGCTACTGCAAGGGCAAACACTGTCTCAGTTGATTCTTGTTGCTGAGTTGCAGGAAATTCCATGTCCACAGGTAGAATAGTGGCTTGGTTTGTATGTTGACTCTGAGGAGTTATAATCTTCTTTTGGACTGTAGAATGTCCAGCTTTCATAATATGCTCTGGAGTTATGGTGAGGTTCAAATGATTATCTGTTGCATGGTGTGAGGTAGAATGATGACCTTGATCTTGACCTGAAGTTGGAACTGTCACCTCCTGAATGAATGGCTGCTCAACTAGAGCTTCTTTAGGTGGTTCTAGAGAGTGAGCTGAAGTCTTCTTCATGATGGGAGAAGGTTCAACCTCTGCATAGAATCCTGCAGTCGTGTTAATTTCCAGACTTTCAGGCTGAACTGTTGCATACTGACTCTGAACCTGCTCTGATTGTGGAAGTATCACTTCAGGTTGCTTTAGGGAAGTTGTAGTCTGTTGCAGGACTATAGAAGGTTCAGCTTCTGTAGTATATTCTGGAGTTATGGGGAGCCCCAGGTCCAAAGGATGATCTATGACATGGTATGAAGTAGAATGCAGAACTTGATCTTGACCTGAAGTAGGAACTGTCACCTCCTGAATTAATGGCTGCTCAACCACTTCTTTAGAAGGTTCTGGAGGGTGAAATGTCACCTCTTGAATTAATGACTGCTCAACCACTTCTTTAGAAGATTCTGGAGGCTGAGCTGATGTCTCCTGCATGATGGGAGAAGGTTCAACCTCTGCACTGGACTCAGCAGACATGGTACTTTCTAGATTTGAAGGTTGAACTGTTGTATGCTGACTCTGAACCTGCTCTGGTTGTGGAACTATCACTTCAACTTCTTGTGGAGGAGCTGTGGTCTGTTGCAGGACTGTGGAATGTTCAGCCTCTGTAGTATGTTCTGGAGTTAAGGTAAGCCCCAGGTCCAAAGGTTGAACTGTGACACTGGATGACAACGAATGCTGAACTTGATCCTGATTTGGTGTTGGAACTGTTGCCTCCTGGTGTACTGGAGACTGAGCTACAATAACATCGTTAAGTGGCTCTGGAGGTTGATTTGGGGTTTCCTGAATAAGTGGAGAAAGTTCAATTTTCTTACTGGCTTCTGGAGTTATGCTAAATTCCAGGCCCACAGGTTGAACAGTGACTTCACTCAAGATTGGATACTGAGCCTGAACCTGCTCCACGTGTGGAAGTGGCACCTCAGTGTCCTCTGGAGAAGTTGTTGTCTGCTGTGAGGTTGTAGGATGTTCAGCCTCCACAGGATGTTCTTGAGTTATGTTAAGCCCCATGTTCAAAGGAGAAATTGTGACGTTGAGCAATGGATCCTGACCTTGATCCTGTTCTGGAATTGATTCCTCACTTTGGAATGGAGATAGTGGATCTGGAAGTTGAGTTGTGGTCTCCTGCGTGTCTGGAGAAATTTCAGCCTCCTTACTGGGTTCTGAAGTTATGTTCAGTTCCAGGTCCAAAGGATGTAATGTGACTTCACTCAAGGTTTGATGCTGAGCCTGAGCCTGCTCTGGATATGGAAGTGGCACTTCAGGAGTATTCTTCTGGATGATCGTAGAATGTTCTTCCTCCATACTAGCTCCTAGGGTTATGCTAAGCTCTAGGCTAAGAGGTTTAACTGTGACACTGGGAAAGTTTGAATGCTGAGTTTGACCCTGTCCTGAAGGTGGAATTGCAATGTCATCAAGGACTGAAGGTTGAACTGGGGTCTGCTGGGCTGGAGGAGTTTCTACCTCATTAGCGGGCTCCAGAGAAGTTGGAAACTCCTGTTGGTTTGGAGGTTCCATCTCTGTATTGGGCACTGAAGAGAGAGTAGGAGAAACTTGCAGATCTGGAGAGGATTCCACCTTTTCAGGGGTCTCTGGAAGCTGTATTGGGTACTCCTTGGGGGCTAGAGAGAATTCTGTCTCATGTGGCTCAGGTTGAGCTGCAGCTTCCTCCTGAACTAAAGATGTTTCAACCTTCTCAGGGAGTTCTGGAGGCTGAGATAAGCCCTGCAGTTGAGTTAGAGAAGATTCTACTTTCTTGGGGGGCTCTGGAAGCTGATATGGGGTTTCTTGCTGGGATAGCGAGCCTGATTTATCAGGGGACTCAGAAGATATAGTTGGATCCACCTGAGTAACTGGAGATTGAGATGGAGTCTCTTGCTGGGTTGGAAGTTTGACCACTTCAGTGGGCTTTGGAGGATGAGCTAACATTTCCTGTTCAGCTGCAGATGGTTCAGTCTTTGTAGGGGGTTCTGGTGGCTCATCTAGGGGCTCCTGTTGGACAGAAAAACCTCCTGTGTTCTCAGGGGGATCTGGAGTCTGAGCTATAGCCTCTTGTTGGTCTGGAGAAGACTCAACCTTTTCAGGGGACTCTGGAAGTTGGGAAAGGGGTTGAGACTGTTCAGGGGGAGCTGGAGGTTTAGCAGGGTCATCCTGATGCAATGGAGAATTGTTAGCTTCCTTAGTAGGCTTTGGAGTTATGGTGACTGTCAGAACCATGGGTTTGGCTGTGGATTTAGGAAACACTGGATGCTGAGCTTCACTTCCAGGTTGAGCTATAACATTCATAAGGGGCTCTGTAACAGGTGGGCCTTGGTGATCTGGCGGTCTGGTTCCCTCACTGGGCTCTGACTGTTGAGTTGGGTCCTCCTGCTGAACTGGAGAAAACCCTACACCCACTTCAGGCAGAGCTGCGTCCTCCTGTTGGTGTGGAGAATGTTCAACTGTTTCAGAGAGGACTGGATGAGGACCTGGAACTTCTTGTTGGACTGACAAAGTTTTCAGCTGTTCAGAAGACATGTCAAGCATATTTGGGATCTCTTGTTGGGGGAACTCTTCAACCTCATCAGTGAAATCTGGAGTTACTGTAAGTACCAAAGACAGAGGCTTGATGGTGACATCAGGCAATGTTGGAAGCTGAGCTTTATCTTGACCTGTAGAAACTTCCTCCACGTGCTCTGGAGCATGAACTCCAACTTCTTCATTAGAGTGTTCTGATGTTTCTGATGTCTGAACTGGTGTCTCCTGTTGGGTTGGAGAAGGTTCAGCCTTCTCAGAGGTCTGTGGGAGCTGGGCTGGGACCTCTTGTTGGGGTGAAGTTTCCATAGGTTGAGCCTCATTCTGAATTGGAGAAGGTCCCACCTCTGTAGAAGTTCCTACTGTTATGGTAACCTTAACTTCTGCAGGTTTGACAGTGGCCTTGGTTAAGTTTGAATGCTGACCATGATGGTGACCTGGTGAAGCTACCTCATGATGCTCTGGAGGTTTAGCTAGCTTCTTCTGCTGGGTTGGAGAAGGTTTAGCTTCTCCAGAAGGCTCATAAATTTGATCTGGTTGCTCCTCCTCACTAAAAGGCTTAACCTCTGGAGATTCTGGAGGCTTAGTTGAGGCATCCGGCTGGGTTAGAGAAGGTTCTGTCTCCTCAAGGCGCTCAAGAGGCTGAAGTGGGACCTCCTGCTGGGCTGCAGAAGATTCAATATCTATACTAGGCTCAGAAGCTATGCTAACTGTAACACTGGGCAAGTTTGAATGAGTTTGATGCCGACTTATATGTTGAGTTAATCCTTCATTACTTGCTGGCACTTGAGTTAATTCATTAGGATACTGTGGAATCTCAGTTGGAACCTTCTGATAGACTGCAGGTTCCACCTCTTCAGAGGGTTGTGCAGGTGGAGCTGGCGCCTCTTGATAGGCTGGAGAAGTTTCAACATAATTAGTGACCTCTGGAGTTATGGTAACAGTCACAACCACAGGCTTAGCGGTGACAGTGGGCAAGTTTGAGGGCTGAGGTGCATTTTCACTTGAAGATGGAACATTTCCCTCATCAGGTGCTGATGGTTGAGCTCCAACCTCTACAGATGATTCTGGAGGCTGTGCCAGGGCCTCCTGAGAGTTTGGAGTGGGTTCTACTCCCTCAGGAGCCTCTACAGCCTGAGCTGGAGCTTCCTCCTGGACCGGGGCAGGTTCCACCTTCTCAGGGCTCTCTGGAGGTTGAGCCTGTGCCTCCTGCTGGGTTGGTGCAACCTCACTAGTGATCTCTGGAGTTATGGTAACAGTCACAACCACAGGCTTAGTGGTGACAGTGGGCAAATTTGAGGGCTGAGGTTCATTTTCACTTGAAGATGGAACATTTCCCTCATCAGGTGCTGATGTTTGAGCTCCTCCCTCTGTAGATGATTCTGGAGGCTGTGCCAAGGCCTCCTGAGGGTTTGGAGGAGGTTCTTCCTCCTCAGGAGCCTCTACAGGCTGAGCTGGAGCTTCCTCCTGGACCGGGGTAGGTTCCACCTCCTCAGGGTTCTCTGGAGGCTGAGCCGGTGCCTCCTGCTGGGTTTGTACAACCTCACTAGTGATCTCAGGAGTTATGGTAACAGTCAGAAACACAGGCTTAGTGGTGACAGTGGGCAAGTTTGAGGGCTGAGGTGCATTTTCACTTGGAGTTGGAACATTTTCCTCATTTGGTGCTGATGGTTGAGCTCCAACCTCTACAGATGATTCTGAAGGCTGTGCCAGGGTCTCCTGAGGGTTTGGAGGAGGTTCTTCCTCCTCGGGAGCTTCTACAGGCTGAGCTGGAGCTTCCTTCTGGACTGGGGCAGGTTCCACCTCCTCAGGGTTCTCTGGAGGCTGAGCCAGTGCCTCCTGCTGGGCAGGAGTTATGGTAACAGTCACAACCACAGGCTTAGTGGTGACAGTGGGCATGTCTGAGGACTGAGGTTCATTTTCACTTGGAGATGGAACATTTCCCTCATCAGGTGCTGATGGTTGAGCTCCAACCTCTACAGATGATTCTGAAGGCTGTGCCAAGGCCTCCTGAGGGTTTAGAGGAGGTTCTTCCTCCTCAGGGGCCTCTACAGGCTGAGCTGGAGCTTCCTCCTGGACCGGGGCAGGTTCCACCTTCTCAGGGCTTTCTGAAGGCTGGGCCTGTGCCTCCTGCTGGGTTGGTGCTACCTCACTAGTGATCTCTGGATTTATGGTAACAGTCACAACCACAGGCTTAGCGGTGACAGTGGGCAAGTTTGAAGGCTGAGGTTCATTTTCACTTGGAGATGGAACATTTTCCTCATTTGGTGCTGATGTTTGAGCTCCAACCTCTGTAGATGATTCTGGAGGCTGTGCCAGGGTCTCCTGAGGGTTTGGAGGAGGTTCTTCCTCCTCGGGAGCCTCTACAGGCTGAGCTGGAGCTTCCTCCTGGACTGGGGCAGGTTCCACCTCCTCAGGGTTCTCTGGAGGCTGAGCCTGTTCCTCCTGCTGGGTTGGTGCAACCTCACTAGTGATCTCTGGTCTTACAGTAACAGTTACAACCACGGGCTTAACGGTGTTACTGGGCAAATGTGAGGGTTGAACTTCATTCTGCGTTTGAGATGGAACATTTTCCTCATTTGGTGCTGATGGTTGAGCTCCAACCTCTGTAGATGATTCTGAAGGCTGTGCCAAGGCCTCCTGAGGGTTTGGAGGAGGTTCTTCCTCCTCGGGAGCCTCTACAGCCTGAGCTGGAGCTTCCTCCTGGACCGGGGTAGGTTCCATCTCCTCAGGGTTCTCCGGAGGCTGAGCCTGTTCCTCCTGCTGGGTTGGTGCAACCTCACTAGTGATCTCTGGAGTTATCATAATAGTCAGAAACACAGGCTTAGCGGTGACAGTGGGCATGTCTGAGGGTTGAGGTTCATTTTCACTTGGAGATGGAACATTTTCCTCATCAGGTGCTGATGGTTGAGCTCCACCCTCTGTAGATGATTCTGAAGGCTCTCCTGGAGCTTCCTGAGGGCTTGGAGGAGGTTCTTCCTCCTCAGGAGCTTCTACAGCCTGAGTTTGAGCTTCCTCCGGGACAGAAGCAGGTTCTACCTCCTCAGGGTTTTCTGGAGGCTGAGCCTGTGCCTCCTGCTGGGTTGGTGCAACCTCACTAGTGACCTCTGGAGTTAAGGTAACAGTCACAACCACAGGCTTAGCAGTGACAGTGGGCATGTCTGAGGGCTGAGATTCATTTTCACTTGGAGATGGAACATTTTCCTCATCAGGTGCTGATGGTTGAGCTCCTCCCTCTGTAGATGATTCTGAAAGCTCTCCTGGAGCTTCCTGAAGGCTTGGAGGAGGTTCTTCCTCTTCAGAGCCCTCTCCAGTCTGAGCTGGAGCTTCCTGCTCGGCTGGGGCTTCCTGCTGAACTGGGTAAGTTTCAACCTCCTCAGGACTTTCTGGAGGCTGAAGCTGTGCCTCCTGCTGGGTTGATTCAACCTCATTAATGACCTCTGGAGTTGTGGTAATAACAACCACCACAGGTTTAGTGGTGACATTGTGCAAGTGTGAGCGTTGAGCTTCATTCTGACTTGCAGATGGAACATTTTTCTCACGATGCAGTTGTGGCTGGGCTGCAAACTCTGTAGATGGCTCTAGAGGATGAGTTGTGGCTTCCTGAGTAGATGGAGAAGAATCCACTTCCTCAGGTTCCTCAGTAGGCTGAGCTAAAGTTTCCTCCTGGTCTGATGGAAGTTCATCCTCTTCAGGGGAATCTGAAGGTTCATCTGGGGCTTCCTCTTCACCTACAGATAGTTCTGATTCCTCAGAAGACTCTGAAGATGCAGCTGGGGCACGCTGTGTGGTTGCAGAATTTTCAAATAGCTTAGCAACTTCTGGAGGTGTTGACTCCTGCTGAAGTGGTTCTACCTCTTCAGAGGACTCTGGATGCTGAGCTTGGGGTGAAAAAGATTCCTCGTCCTCAGGAGTTTGTGCAGGGGCTTCTTCGTGGGATAGAAGTTCACCCTCCTGAGGCTCGGGACGTGGTTCTGGGTCTCCTGTTAAGTCTGTAGGTTGGTTGTCCTCGGGATAAAGGATATCCATGCTAGTATCTAGATAATCCTGCAACTTTTGAGGCATTGGCTGATGTGTTTTTGGCAACTGGCCTGGAGTTCTAACAACTTTGGCAAATCTTGGATGCGCAGCTACATCTCTCTTCAGGAGTTCAGGGGAGAAAATGAAACTCGTTGGTCTTGAACTCTGCCTATCTAGAGGTGAAAGACGTGTTTCATAGGGTTGGTGATCTTCAGGCTGATCTAGAGCTACAGTCAGAATCTTACTTTTGAGTGGAGGAAACAAAGTTGGGGCCTGATTCTGATCCCAACCTCGCATTGGAATCATTTCTGGGGCCCTTTGATGCTGGGTCAGCTTGCTATTCACCTCCTGATGTGAAACCACAAACTGATCTGGTCCTGGCGACAGCTCTCCAACTGAATCTGTGACCAGAGTCCCAGTCAACTCCTGAGGCGGCGCCAACATCTGGGCTGGAGAGGAGGATTCCGGGTAATTAAAACCCCCTGGCTCCGCAGGGGGGGTGAGCGCTTGTGGAGATTCAGGTGGGCGATCGGAGGAGTGCGAAGACCAGGGCTCGATAATCCCTGGGGGGTCGGAGGCCAGCTGGACTGGGTCCAGGGCCAACTCCGGAGCCGCCTGGAACAGCAGCCACAACGGTTGCCACGTGAGGAGGAGCCCTGGAGCCCAGAGGCGCAGCCGGGACATGACATGCGGAGGCTCCCGGGCGCAGCGACCCAGGCCAGTGGGGCGCCGGCGCCCTGAGCGGGAGCCCAACCGTTATGGCAGCCCCGTGATGCCCGCGCACTTAGCAACCACGCGCCCCTCCCCCACTCACGCCCCACCCTTTGTTGACCACACCTTTATTTACGCCACCTTTATTAGTCTCGGGCCAAGATAAGTTCTGTGCCCCCAGAGCGAGCCCTTTTTCCAGAATCACCAAAGCACGAGCCTTCCTTCGCCCTGCCAAGAACACACCTACTTCCAGCAGGGTCTTCTTTTCCCCTTCATAGAGGCAGGATTTAGACTGCATACGTGGGTGGCCCGGGACTCCAACAGCTTGGGAGTGGGTGGGTGGGAGATTAAAGGACGTGAGAGTGGGGGGTGGGAGGCACAGAGCTTCCCAAGAGAGCCATATAGTCAGGCATCCTGGGAAATTCAAAAGTGCTGGTCCAGTTCTGGCAATCCGAACTCTTCCTCGTCAAAGCTGAAATCTGAGAGACATTCTTCTTCTCCTTGGCCATACTGCTTCCAAGACAAGTAGTTGACCTGAAAAATGAGCACGAGTTAGAGTGGGATGGGCTGGGGGAGATATTTTACATTTAGTTATTCTGAAATGAATCCATTTCTTCTAAACACTCAGTATCCATTGCTGATCATTAACTCACTATAAGATAAGAGCTAACACTGAGTGAGGATTCCAAAATTTCTGCAGGAGGGGTTTTGGGAAGTGAGCAGTTCACTCTGGAAGAGAGGATAGGAAACCAAGTAAACAAGCCATTTTATACAGGCATGGGATAACTTCCCCCATGTTCCCCTGGCTCAGCACAGCAATGAATCCAAGAAAGTAAATATGCCACTTCTCAGAAGTCTAACCTCGGTGGACACATGAAGACACTCAGGATGTTAAAGTTAGCATATTAAATAATTTTCTTGAAATACTGTAACTAGCACCCAGTTTACTTCCTTCATGGCCCCTCTTATAATCTGTTTTAGTCTTGCTTATTGTCTGACATACCTCTAGAAACTCCCAGAGTAAAGGGGCTTCACCTTATTCCCAGGGTGTGGTACATAGTAATGGTTTTTGAATGGAATTGATTCAAAGACTGGCCTCAGATGATCTGTTTCTATAATCAGGTTTTTGAAATCTTTAGCATTAGTAATGAATCTCTTCCTCTGACATCTCACAGTAAGTTAGCCTTCTTAGGACCTAAATTTGGATAAACTTGATGTTACCTTGAGTGGTTTGATTTAAGTTGAATTAAAAACATTTATTTTGCGCACACACACACACACACAAAATCATTTTTCAGACTGTAACCACCTTTTTCTTTCTTTACTTTATTCCTTTCCAAGTGATCTTTGCAACCTTGGGGTAAGCTAAATACAAAGAAGTATAGCCTCAATCTCTACGACATGACGTACATTTTTTTGCTCCCACTTTTAAACATCCCATGTGTAGTATAATAATATTTTCTTTTAGAAATTACTTTGACAATTTACTCCCTAACTCAGAGCATCCACTTGATTTATTTCCTTCAGCAAGTTTTCATACAAGACATATATGAGATGTCAGGATCTGTGTATTACACCTTATTTAAAAGTGCAATAATTTTCTAATGCTACAGCGTAGTCACTCTTAAAGTCATAGTTCCTTTCTCCCCAGATTTCTGGGGTCTTGTTTGAGGGGAGTTGAAAGGGTGTGCTTCTGAGGTCTCTTACAACTACAGGAGTATTCTGAGTGTTCTTAGTTCTCTCCCAACAAGGGGTCAGAGCCAAGCCAGGGCTCCAGGAAAAGTCTTAGAAAGTATCTGCACTCAAAATCAATTTCCGAGTTTCACATTTTCATGTGTATAAAAGAACTAACTACATGCCAAAGACCTCCCAATCCTGCTGATTCTTTGAATTATGGCTATACTGACTGTGCAGTCCTCAAGTTTTGTCTCTACATACTTCAATTAAATCCTGAAGTTCTTCCTCAACTCTGGCATCTTTGATGTCTTCACCGGGTCTGTACTCGACAGCTATTTTACCACTTTCTGAAATAAAGTTTACAATGATCAGTTCAGAATTTTTTTTTTTAAACTTCCTGTATACAGTAGAGGTATATACAGCAATATTGGGTGTTAGTTTCTGTTTACACCTAATAACTGCACATTCCTTTGATTTTTAAAAGCAGAAAATAGGAATTTTCCTAGAAGTTTTCTCACCTCAAACTTCATATTCATATTCATATATTTATATATATATATATAGTACCAGCTACTAAAAAACTTTATGATATTACAGACAGGGACTAAGAAATAATAACAAAAAGCTTAAAATTGCAGAAAAAAATGTTTATAAATAAGCCAACAATATGATTAAATATTATATTGTGGTTCATGTGAACTCAAATATAAGCTAGTGACTAGAGGAATACAGGATATACTTTATATTAGAAATAAGTCAAATGTCTACTATTACTTCCTGGGAGCCAGAATTCCACCCCTTGAGGGGTAAAGGGAGGGACGTCGGGGTGGAGGAGCATGAGCAAAACACAAAAACATCTGAGCATTTTATTGGCAGAAACTGGTCCATGTACCTTAAAGACAATGTAGCCCAGTTATGCAGTCTAGAAGGCTGGGGCCACTCCAGGGTCACCTCTTACAAGCAAATAAGGTCTTTGACAACTTAACTAGAGTTTCTCAGTCTCTAAGAGTGCAGGTATGTGAAGCAAGGGAAAATTCTCTTCAGATATTGTCTGCTGGTCAGCATTTCCTTTGGGTACAGACCTCTGCAGAATTCCACAATCAACACTATTCAGAAGCATGCCTGCTTTCAAGGCTCACAAAACATAGCCGACTCTCCCATAAAAGTCACATTCACCCAAAATGTCAGTGTCAGAAATAAAAATGACCGGAATTGATACTCCAAAAACATAATCTGATAAACGCTCACTTGGACGAACAGCAGCAGTAACAGCTAACACACTGGGTCTGCTTGTAGCAGAGTGATCCAGGGAGAGGGCGGTCGGCTTCCTGCCCCGCCCTACGGAAGGGTGGAGCTGAGCAGGAGGCGCTCGAGGAGACTGAGGATGAGTGAGGCATGGAGGAGACCTGGCTGAGGAGAAGCAGAGAGATGGCGAAGGAAGACTGCAGGAGGCACGAGGAGCGGAGAGCCGTGAAGACGCTGTGTTTGCGCTCAGCGTGGACTGGTACCAGGACTTGGCTTACGTGGGAGGAGACGGAGATGAGGGGCAGAGGTGAAGGCTGCTGATAATGGCGGCCTTTATCTTGACTTGGGTTTTGACTTTGCCGTTTTCCTTCCAGACTTGCTGCCCCCTCTGCCCCTTCCCTGTGGTCCCCACCAGAAGATGCCTTAGGCTGGCAGCGGGCTTTGGGCCTCAGCATTCTGCTCTGGGCACACTCTGTTTGACTGGTGTTTACCCATGAAAGGATGAGGCACTTTGGGTGTTTAGTTGAGAACTATTTTAACGGTGTTTTCTCTTTTCTATTTATTTCACACTAGTTATATTAGTTATTTTCTGTTGAAGGTCTGATGCACTACAGTATGTTTTGTCTTGATGTGGTGGATGGCAGAACCTATTTAGAGAAAGTAGGTTTGGGAACCCCAGGGCGCCCCTCACTCTGCCCCTAACATGCTTACCAGGGTCTAAGCATAGTGCTAAGCTTTTACATTCATGATCTCATCTCCCCTGAAGTAAGCTGAAACACTAACTCTAGTTTGTAAATGAAGAAAGTGAAGCTTATAGTTATTAAATACCTTCAAGTCTCTCTGGGTATAAAATCTAACACTGCATAAAAAAACCTAAGAGACAGAACTCAAACACATTGTCCAAAGCTTATAGTAACTATACTACTTTGTATAGGTAGGCAAGCACATCAAACACGTTCTGGGTGAACTGAGGAAAGGCATTCTACAAGTCATTCTACAGTAAGACAATAATATTTACTGTCATCTTTCTCATAAATGTCATAAAGAGCAAATTTGAGATTGCTATTGTGAAGGTATTTTGTGAATGTAAAAAATCCAGAGTACTTGAGACAGCTATTATTTTCATGCAATTAACTTTTCAAAAATAGTTATTTTTTGCCTATTGAAACAGATATTTGAAGACAATCAAGAAAGTCTTACCTAAAACCACAATCAACAGTTTTTGAAATGCATCTGACACAGCCTTCTGAATAGCAAGTTTCTGGGTTGTCTTCCTTTTCAAAAGTAATGACAACGGCCCTAAATTCAACCAAAACACATGGATTTAAAATGCCTCTCTGAGTAATTGACGTGTCTCTTATATGTCAAAAATAATGCATCCACGTTTCTAAAATCATTGTCTTAGCAATACAAGGATGTAACTGCTTTTCTGCAGATATGTCCTGGCAGGGTACATTTTTACTGCCTGATCTATTCTACAAGTTCCCAAAGAACTAAAAGGGAGGTACAAACCAATAACTTGGCACATATCTCATGGTACTCACAGGTTTCAAATGGATAAGTTGAAGTTACACTCCTAGACCCTGCTCTCCTGTGCATCAAAGACTGGAATCACACAATGAGACAAGTTTAAAGTGGTGCAGATGACTGGATTTCCCCCAGTCTCTGACCTACCAGAGTCAACGCCATTCCCTCACTAATAGCTCTGCTTCGGGAAGGCAGCAAGACTCACCCTATACCACTAATACTAGCTCTGCCCCTCAACATTCTGCTGAGGAGCACAGATTTTAAGAAAAAGCTCAGAATCAATAGGAAGACCCTTTCTAGATATCTATATTTGGCTTGTCCACTCAAGCCATTTCTATAGGAAGTAAAGTATACAAGAGTCTACTTAAATCTTTAGATAATGGTTTTTCTGAGCATTACAATTAATGTAAATTTGAAGGACTTTTAGCACAAAGCACAGTCTTTATCAAAAACAGGGAAAATGTTATTTCCCTCTGCCTTTGTTTCTTGGCAGGAAGTTGGCTTTAAAATTTTGAAGTTAAAGTTGAAAAAAAAAAACATATGATAAGGCAGAAAGAACACTCCCCAGCCTTTAGCAGCTTAGCAAAGGGAGGATCTGATGGTTCATCTGAAAAGATAAACTTTGGGGAAAAGGCTGATTCTTACCACCCCCCACCTCCTGCGTGTGCGCACCCCCAACCCCACCCCTGGAGACCGACCTTCCTCCACGGTGTCCAGAGGCCCCTCGGCTAAGCCGACTCCAGGACTCCTGCACCCATAGGGTGGCAGCACCACCTCTAGAGCACAGAAGAATTTCAGGCTTGGCTTTTGAAGTGATGCCACAGTGTCTTCATTTTCCCTTTCGTTCAGGTCAGAAAGATCCTGAAGCTATTAAGATTTTGAATATAAGTTTCTTCCTAGGATTTCAATGTAGACTTCAAAATGTTTTTGTTACTAGGAAAAAATAAACCAGACCCAGAAATCTCACCTAAGAGGTAGCACATCTTATAGCTTCAAAATCAAGGTAAGACTAAGACTTGAAAATGAATTACTATTAGATATAGATAACTACATATACATACCTATTATATACATACATATATCATATATAATATGAACATGTTATATGTATAACATACATGTACACATATATTATACATATAATACTAATATACATATATTATACATGTGTGTTTGTATTATATGTGTATATAATACATATGT